GTAAAACTGTAATATAATGTAAATATCGATTAAAAGGTGCTATTAAGTAAAAATATTGTTATGAAAATTTTGAGTTTATTGTTCAGGATTTTTCAGTACATTCACGTTTGTTACGCGACGTGGTACTAGTAGTGACATCATTGATTTTTGCACAAAACACAAGAGCTTGGGCCCATCCAGCCGAAGGACCCCACAATTCACGCAAATAATTGCTAATTTCTTCGTGAATTTTCGGAGTAACAGTTTTATATTGTTTTAAATGAGGTAAATATCTTGCTTTAGCTATTTGAAAAATGTGAGTGTCTACAGGAATGGCTTCTAGGTGACCCAACGACATTAAGCATATGCAATCTGCAACTTTTGGACCAATCCCAGGAAGAGTAATTAGCTGTTTCCTAGCGTCAACGTATGACGCATTATTCTCTTTGTGCAAATTGGAAAGCCATTCTTTCCCACCAAGTTGTACCAAATGCTTTGCTGTATTTGCTATGTATCCTGCACGATATCCAAATTTTTCTTCCCTTAATTTACTTTCAACGTCCGTATTTGCTAGCGCTTCGATAGACGGAAAGCTATAGTAATCTTTGCCTTCGATTGAACAAATTTTTTCACCGAAGAACGCGCATAATTTTTCTACCATTCCTGATATCCTAAAATGATAGTATACATTTAAGCAAACATGAATTAAATATACGCAAATTAAAGTATTTTGTCTTACCTCTGAATATTGTTGTTGGAACTGCATATGAAAGAAAATACATTTTCAACAACATCCTGATTCAATATTCTAACGCCATTTGTTTTGTTTAGGAATTTCTCAAAGTGTTGATCTACCGCTATCCATTTTTTGCACAGATCTTGCAAACACACGTCTAATCTGAAATAGTCGGACAGAATCTTGTCATAGTTTTTGTAATCTACTAGCGGACCTTGTACGGTATAATACAGATGAGTATCGTTTTGCGTAAGAGTCCAAACATATCCGTCAAAAACTCCTCTGTATCCATTATCGTAATCAAACCATCTGTAAAATGTAAATAAAAAAGAACGTAGCATATACATACAAGAAGTTAGACTGTTGTTTCAAAATTCGCGGAGAAATTGTAATGGACGAATCGCAAGTGTTGAAGAAATATTGGTTATGTTTTTAGGAAAGATCGATCGTGATTAAAGAAATTACCTGAAACTTTGACCGCCTTTCAAAGTGACGCCTAAGTCTAATTCTGACGAAGAGCAAGCGATTTTGCCGTGTTTTGTTCTTACTTCGTTTAGGTATAATTTTGGTTTCATAATGTTGTGTATTCCTCTCGATACGGACAGACCAATAGATCGTAATCTTAATCTGTTAATATGCGATGATTCAATACCAGATAGTGGATATATTGATCATACTTTAAATTTTGATCATTCATACAGGACTGACAGTTATCAAACGCTTACTTTTTTACAGAAATAAATCGTGCATCTTTCGGCAAGTGGAATAACACGGAAACACGTGGCGTGTTTAACAGCGCGCCAAATTTATATTTATATTTGTATTTAAAATCGAAATAGCTGAAAAGGAGGAGGATACGAACCTTAATGTTAATAATTCTCGTAAGGTTGCAATTGTTCTTATAATGTGTGTGTCCTTTATTAAATATGATAGTACTGTATTCCTATTATACATATTTACAGTGATATATCTGCTATTGAGGACTTTAGATAGTTTATAATAACTGTGAGTCGTTTTAATTTATACAATACGAAGAGATTATTGCGTATTTAATTTATTACACATAACGTTAGACGATTTGCAGCATTTCGTTTGAATACAGCGTGTGTCAGTATTTAAGTACCGTTGTACCATTAAAATCTCGATTTCTTTTTCAACATTTTTACAATGCTAGAGGCATGACACATTCATACGTAAGTACAAATATACAAAATACATACGAAAGAAAATCAACATTATCACACACATGGCCAAGGAAATGAGATAAAATGAGATATGAATAAATAAACTATGTATCCAATTACAAAGTTTTAAAATTTCAATTTTGGTAATAAAAAAAAAAAAAAAAA